TATTTTAGGCAGAGGATATGCGTCTGGTAACCGAACTTGGATTAGGTGTCTGGCAGTTGCTGTCATAGCCTAACCTAGCTAAACAAACTTGCTGATAATGAAAAAATCGATTAACGGTTAAGTTCTGTTCATAAAATAAAATGATAAATTAAGTTAGGCCTATTTTAAGTTTACCTAAATTTCTAAGCAAAATCTTTGATAAAAATAATGTCACCAATGGGATTTGATCTAGATAACTTAAGTTACCTCTTGTAGGCTACATCAGCCGTACACTATCCATTACACCACGAACACTGATGGCTAACTTAAACATCGTATTGTTGTGGTAATGGTGTCACGGGCCCCCACATTCTGGTGACGTCACTGCCGGGAACCTATCTTAATGCACGTTTGGTTACGTTCGGATCCTCTGCGTAGGCATATATTTTAAGCCTAGGCTCATAACAAAAAGTCTGCGTTAAGCTATTTTAGAAGACAGATTTGCGGTAACTTAGGCCTGGGATGCTAAATTAAGTAACAGGAAGAATTGGTAGGCCTAGGCCTAACTTACCGGTACTGTAGCCTATGGTCTTGTTAAAAAAAAAATCGCTTAACTTAGGGCCTAAGTTAAGTTAACATGTAGGCCTACCTTGGTAGTTAAGATTTTATATTTTGCCTAATTACCTGACCTTACTTAGGCTTAGAAGTCAATTGCAGTTCAATAAGTTAAGTTAGGGTAGGTAACTTTTTATTTATTTATTTATTTTCCAATAATCACATAACATCATATTCAGACAGGTGATTTGTCATTGTTACAATAATTTATAGTCTCTATACTAAAACTATTACTAAAATAAATTTCATATGCCTTAACATCTACACAGCTTCCATCTTATTCCTCCAATGAGAAGAAGGCCTTCTCCAAAAGAAAGTTTTAAATCTAGTGTTATGAGGATGTTCATGTTGATCTTCCATGAATGTGTCAAAATCACTTTTAACCATTAAAGCCAGTTTAAAGATATAAGAACTATACAAAGTAAGAATTTTAAACTGAATGAAAAACTCTTTAGGTACTGTGAGTTATTCGAGACACTTTGGCTAAGACTCTAACTGCTCTTTTCTGGAGGATCAAAATTTGTTCGGCATGACTAGAAGAACCCCATACTGTTAAACCGTAATTCATGATGGAAGAAAAATAAGCGTGATATACTGCTAATTGTGTGTCTAAATTTGTAGTAGGCCTATGTCGAATTACCCGAAGAACAAGTATAGCTGATCTGAGTCTCTTTGATAGATTCTTAATGTTTGTTTGCATATTAAGTTGCCAATCTATATCAATTCCCAGGTAATTGACCGAGTTTTGAGAATATATTGATGTTTGGTTCAAATTTACAGCAATGTCTATTTTTGAATGCCTGAGGAAAGACTTAGGGCTGCCTCAAGTTAAGTTAGGCTAGGCCTACCGGTAACTTAACTTACCTTATATATATTTATATGTGTGTCCGTTACCACGATAACTTGATCAAAAATCATCTGATTTTGATGGAATTTGGTACAAATGTGTAAACCTACGTTTATTCGAACGAGTTCGCGAACCAGCATGATCGGACTATTGGAACAGGGGTCTATGGGGGGTTTTATGGGGTAAAAATTGGTTTTTCCCATTTCTGACCCTAAAAGCTTAAAATTTAGCAATTTCTTTCCAAACCATTTTGTAGAGCTTAAAAAAACAAACAATTTAGTAGGCCTATATTGAAGCGTTATTATGCGCCTAGAATGGTTACAGAGAAAATTTCAAAAAACTATAAATTTAAAATTCCCATGTTATTCTTACGGAGAATAAATAAACTGATGTATGTAGTTTGCTTGTTTATGAACATATTTTGATCAAATTTGGAAAACGCATTCATTTCATACTAAACTATTAACATTTTACAAAAAAAAAAACCTTTTTACTCTCCCTGTTGCAGCAAACCTAAGTACTCATTAAACTAATGCTATTTAGATAGGGAATAAATCGGATATTTTAAAGGAGACATTTTAGTGTAAATAAATCCAATCAGGCAAATGGGAATTCGCTTAGGCTAGTCTGCAGGTTTGCTGCGTGGGGGGGGGGGTATTGTAAGTTAGCTGCTGTAGTTTATAAAAACAGCTAATAGGCCTACACAGGCTTTTTTATCGTCATAATTTGATTTGCTTTGTGGGCCTAAACACAAATAGATAAGTTTAAGTTAAAATTGGTTACTAAATCAATAAAATTTCATTTTATTGATTTAGTCACAAGATCAGCTCAGGGGCTAAAAAATATGGATTTTAAAATTGGTTAGATTGGACTAAACGTTTTCTTAGCGAATTTCCCATAACTTAACTAATAGTTACAAGCTGTAGAGCTAAAAAAATATATAATTTTTTATATTCACGCGTTGTTGTATATCTAACGTTTAGACGGAGATAACTTAATTTAAAAAATTTTAGGCCTACTGTAAATTAAAATTTCCAATTTTATTCTTAAATATAGAGAATAAGTTAAGTAAACTCTTGTTGTTTGCTTGTTTATGGATATATTTGATCAAATTTGGAAATTTTGGTTATTCATACTAAGCTATCAACATTTCAATTAACAGCCCTCAATACCTTCCCTGTGGCAGCAAACCTAAGTAATACTCATTAAAATACTTGTTATTTAAATAGGAAATGAATCTGACAATTTTAAGGGGTCGTTTTAGTAGAAAACGAGCCAGATAAATGGAAATTCTTAGTCTGCATGTTTGCTGGGGCGGGGTATTAAGAATGGTTATATATTTAAGTTCGGTTATTAGGTAAGCTTACCTATATCAGTGTTATATGTTTTCAAACAGAATCTGCACGGGAAAGAAGCTACAATCAATCGTCAGGAAACAAATTTTACCACTTCGTCTACAACCGACCCAGTTCCAAACAGCTCATATACATCTCACAAAATGTCTCAGAATCTCGGCCATGTCGCGCATCTTCAGATCTTTCAGCAATATGATGAACAATTGTCCCATTATCTTGAGCATGAGCATCAACGAATCGTTGGCTCAGCGTTTGACATTTGCCAAAGACTGCTATCAGGGCATACTTATGATTTTCTCCGAGCAGAGCTTGGTCCTCAGGTACTTTGGTTTATGTTAGGCATGCTAGAGGCAGGTTTTCTAGTTTAGTGGTTTTCTGCTTGGAGATTGATTTAGTGTATGATTCTTTTTGCATGTCGCATGAACCTTTTCCTTTGTGCATTTAACTTCTATGGTGCACTAAGAGGATCCAAGAGTGTTTTTGAATTTGCCTACCTTTTGACCTTATTTCACTATCTTTACTTAATGATCGAATAAAATTAAGAATTTTGGAAAATCGGAATGGGATACGCTTTGCGGAAAGGCCTGAAATTCCAAAGAGAACCAAAATATGATATATTGTTGGATCAAATTTTCATTTGATGACTTATAAGCCTATCTAAGTTAACCAAAATGAGTAAAACTTAGGCCTATGTTTGAATTTATTTTTTGGATATGAGCCTATTAATATTGAATGTACAAATACAGGGTGTTTTTTAATAATGCCTGGATTTTAAATGATAATTGTATTCAATATAACTAAACATTTTATGCATCAAATCGAAGCTAAAATAACTTAAGTTTTGTTTCCCCTGTTGCAAGGGAGGAAATTTTGACCTTAGCATGCGCAAAACAGGTGCGCGGTGGTAGGCCACTATTGTGACTCATACGCTTGACGCCATCGCTAGTATGACGTTTACGGTGCAACAGAAGGCACAGATTGTAATCTGTGGTTCGCATAGTTTATATCCATTGCTAAATTAAACTAAATTAAAATCTACATGATAATAAAGAAAATTGAAGCTGGTTTAATGAGTTTCGTGGCACCGTAGTGTTTTGAAAAGACATTCACCTGGCCCCCTAAAAACAAGCGATGATATAATCGAAGAAATCCGACAATTCTGCATCAGAAGCCCGGCAAAATCTTCAGTTGAACAAACCTAAATTGGTCACTTAATGACGTTATCTGTAAAAGATAGAGTCTTTGTGCCTATAAGGATTCAGTTAAGACATCAGACAAATTCACCAATCACCCTAAGCGTACATACTTTGCCAGTTTTACGCTCATATAATATTGATGAAAATCTGAATTTTATTAAATCATTCTGAATCGTATCAAAGAGTAAGAAAAAAACGTTCTTTTCCCTTCGATTTGACGTTTAAATCGTTTAATTATCTTAAATATTCCTCGAGCAACAACCGTTTAAAATCCCAGCATTCTTTTAAAAACACGCTGTATTATTGGAATGAGTAGGCTAACTTAAAACTTAATAAGTACGGATATTATGATTAAAATTTGATGGATCGACGATAAATTTCTGTTGCATGTAATTAATCTAGATTTTTGTTTGACGTGTGCTTATTTTGTACACATTGTGCATAATAATGATGTTAATTTCATAGGTAGGCCTTCAACGGGGCTAAAGAATACAGGGGCTGACTCACATCGTCGGGCAAACTCCCTGCAGCCACAGACAATATAATACTTTAATGGACAATGGTTTCCATTGTCTGTGCTGCAGCTCTGCATGGCAGGTCTGCCGTGTGGCTGTGACGTCACAGTGCGGAGTCTATGGGTCAGACCATCGCGCGGCCCGTATAGGCCTACATACCGCTTATTAACCCGTTTCCCTACATTTACACAATTCAATTGTTCGTATCAAACTTGTATCATTAAGTCAATCTGCATTTAACAACCGAGTCTGATGGTCAACAAATATTTCAGTTATGTTTAATAATTAATATCTTTTTTATAGCGTAAAAAGGATAAGGTTTACAAACGTGCAAACTTCAAAAAGTCACTAATCGAGGAATTTTTGGGATAGGAACAAACTTTGAGCTATAAAAATGTTTTCGTCACACTGCAGAAAAAACAGCAGTTTTTAATGCATGTTTTGCGGGTCTAAAACCTAAAATATTGCGAGATGAGTGGGAAAAATTGCCCGCCAACTGTTTTAAGTGTGAACATCAACACATTCATTTATTAAGTTTTTTGAGTCCTTGGAGGCTAGCGACCATCTTGGATTTGCCTGCCATAAGAGCAATGTTAATTTTTTCATTTCATCTCAAAATATTTTTTTAATACCGTACTGTACCAAAGTGAGTGTAATTTAAATATCTAGTGCACTGTGATGAGGGTTTTCTCAATCATACTAAACTTTTACAACAAGCAATTAAGTTTAACAACCGATGTTTTTAGCCTTGGGTGACCATAAAAATAAACTTATATCCGTTTCGGGCTTAAGTCTCATTGTGCCACCTACGTAAAGAGCGACTTCCTAATCAGGAAATTTGATCAAAAGTACTCAGGTTAATTTTAGATTGCTGGAATTGATAAACTAATATATACTTTTAAGTTGGCTTTTAAATCTATTTAAATTAATAATGTTAACTTTTAATTTTTTATAAATGCCTTTAGGTCAGTAACATGCTATCACAACTGAAGTAGCCTAAGCCTTAAAAATTTATTACTTTTTAGAAATCTTGAAGATGCCCAAGCGGAGAAATTATGATGTGACATTTTCAAATTTAAGTTGGCATGGTAAAAGAAAACGGTTGAAGCAGATGGAAGATAGCAGCTCTGAGAGTTTAAATGATCTAAGTGAAAATAATTCCCCAACCAATTTTATCACTCTACATCAGTCAAATTCAGACAACGATTCCACTGACACTGTAGTTGATAGCAGGGCCCCCTATGAAGATTGTTTACATGAACCTTTATCTGATGATATTCATTTTGAAAATGAAAACTCCCAGGATGAAATGGAAATTGTTGTCTCGGATGCAACTATACAGTCAAACATTTCTATCGAAAGTGACTATCAATGCAGTTCTGAAACAAGTCTGTCAGATTTTGAATCTGATAATGAAACGTTAACCTCTACTGGAACTGTAAAAAACTTCTTGCGTAACTGGGCAGCGGATAATAATATCACTCTATCAGCTGTCTCAAGTTTATGTTCGGGATTAAGAGAAGTTCATCCATCTTGTTTTAGAACTCTCCCTAAAGATGGTAGAACAATTATGAACACACCAAAAGATGTTAAGAGTGTGCAAGTACCTCCTGGGAATTATATTCATATAGGATTTAAAAAACAATTGGATTTTATAATTGGAGAACTATTTAATTTAGCTATTGACATTAAAGTATTACATATCTTGGTTAACATCGATGGTCTGAGTCTGTATCGAAGTTCTCCAAGTGAAATGATTCCGATCTTATTTTCATTGCCAACAATCAAGCAGTTGGAGAATCTTGTATTCCCAGTTGGTATTTACTATGGTATAAAGAAACCATATGACCTTTCATCTTTCTTGTGTTTGTTTATTGAAGAGATGAATGACATATTAACTAATGGGATGTCAATGAATGATAGACATATACAAGTTAACTTTCTTGGGTTTTGCTGTGATGCACCTGCAAAGAGTTATTTAATGGGTGTAGTGGGTCACAATGGGTTCAATAGTTGCACAAGATGCAAGGTAAAAGGAGTGTCAGTTGGTCCAAAGAGAAGAAAGAGAAGAATCTTCTTACAAATAAATAGTCAGCCGAGGACCAATGAAGAATTCTTAGAAAACAGTGATCCAACCTATACAAGACGTACAACACCCTTAACACAAATTCAAAATCTCAACTTTGTCAATGATTTTATTCTTGACTATATGCATTTGATCTGTCTTGGAGTAATGCGTAAAATGCTATTCACTTGGTGTTCAGGGCAGCCTATTACAGCAAGAATTTCAGTCAGCCAACAAACAATTTTGTCCGAAAATCTTCTCTCTTTAAGGAATGCAGTACCTGAAGAATTTGCACGACGACCTCGTGAACTATCAAATCTGAAATATTGGAAGGCAACTGAATTCAGAACATTTTTACTTTATTTAGGACCTGTTGTTTTAAAGGATATTTTAAATCCAGACAAGTACAGACACTTTTTGACACTTCATATTGCTGTTACAATATTACTTAATAGCAATACATGTAAACATAATGATATGCTCCGTTATGCTCAAGATTTGTTAAAACACTTTGTAACAAATACAGTTAACTTGTATGATCAAAACTTGATAACACATAATTTTCATGGGCTAATACATGTAGTTGATGATGTCATCCACTTCTCTCAAAAAATCCCTAATGTCACTTTGCACACCATTTCAGCTTTTCCATTTGAAAATCATATGCAGAAAATAAAGCGAATGGTTAGATCCAAATCTAAACCCTTAGAACAAGTGGGTAGAAGAGTTGGTGAGCTTTTTTCAAAACAAGTTTCAATAACACATATTTTAGAAGAACCTCAGTTCAAAATCCACCACAGTGAAGGTCCATTATTAGCACTCTGCAAAGGTCCCCAGTTTAAAAAGATAAAATTTAATGACTTCACTTTGAGTATAAGTCCACCAAATAACTGCTGTGGCTTGAAGAATGGCAGTGTGGTAGTCATAGAGAACATTGCCTATTCTACTGAACTAGATGCCAAAGTCGTCATAGGGCGCAAGTATCTACAAAGGAACAATTTTTTTGATGAGCCACTGCTTAATAGTAAAAGCTTGGGAATTTTTAAAGTTGAGAGGTTGTCATCAAGATCTTTTTGGCCATGTAGTGAAATAGCAACAAAATATATCTCCATACCGAGAAAAAACTACCATGTAGTATTCCCTCTTCTGCATGTTTAACGTAAACTGTCAGCAAGATATAGCCCTAGCCAAAACTCCTTCCAACAACCATTCCTACTCCAACAACCATTCCTACAGGTAAAATATATTACTTTTCCTACTATTCCTACTATTCCTTACTAATGCCACTCATTCTTGATTAATGTTTCCCATACATTGCTTTTATAACCTTGCACATGTGGTAGTTAAATGCTATTAAGCTCTTTTATTCTTTGGTGTTGGCGATAATATAGTAATATATAGATAATATAGTAATTTGTATGATGGGTATTTCTAATTTATAAAGGCAACAGCTAATTTTCTATTATTTACTCTTTTCAGCATACTTACCAAGAATGTGGACAATCGTCAAAGTCAAGTCTACAGATCAATATGACGTAATCCCAAACGAGTGGATTGTCTCTTCCACCCTGTGCTTTTATCCAGACAAAGGTAAAAGTACAGCCACTAGATTGGCCAAGGATAGAATCATGCCTGAAAGCGATTGGGATGACTTGGAAATCGCTATCGTGAGACGTGATCTAGGTAAGTAATTTTTTTGCACATAACTTTGACCCTATATAATAGTAATAGTTAGCTGTTACTTTTTTGTTAGCATTTTTTCAAGCTTCAAACAAGTGAGATGTGGGGTAGGGACCTGACGTGATACTGGTATCTTGATACTTGACCGACAATGTCGGATATATTGCATTATATTATTATTAAAAACTAAAACTGTGACCTCATTCACATCAAATCTCTAATCCCATTTTCTTTTCTTATTTTGTATATTTCTTTTCTCTCTTCTTCAATCTTATTTTTATTCATCCCAGGTCCTACTCCTAAGTCTTATCTTCTCTAGGCCTTTCTCTCTTCCTTACTTAAATGGTAGGTTTATATAATTATATAGTTAATTTGTTGGCACTATCTTCACCCATTATCTCTTCATGCCCGTGGACACTTGCCATGGAAGAGAAAATGAACTTATTCTCACTCGATTATTTTGTCATTACATGATTCTTCTCGTCCCACAGATTAGTTTCCATTTTTCACTGGTCCACATATCCTTCTATAAGTCGTCCTTTCAAAAATACATGGAGGTCTCAACACATTTGTTTTCAGCCATTTAAGTCCATGTACCTTACACCTGTATGTTACAGTTTATTTTTATTTCTCTAGTTATAATTTTGGATTTCAGCACCTGCCAGTTTGAAAAGAAAGTCCTTTGTACCAGCCATTATCCTAAGTATATAATTTGAAATAAGTGTATTTGTTGTGAGTAGCCTAGTTACTAAGTGTTTAAACTTAGTTACTTTCTCAAATATTACTCTCCAAATTTAATACCATCCTCAGCTATCCAAACATCTCTTAGAAAAAGTTATAAATACTTTAAATTATTTCAAAAACTTTAAATCCAAAAATACAAACACAAAGGTTAAACAAACTTTTTTGTCTAACCTACCACTGCCTCACCATATTATTATTTCTTGAATTGCTGCTACATTTATCTACTTCTGCCGCCATTTTTCCTAAAGAATTTCCTGAGATTCTTAAATTTGATTCCACCTTTTTGTTTTATGACTTTCCGTTGAAGAGTAATGGTTAACTCATTTAACATTAGTGTTATGGAAACCAAACCTAAAATGGACATGTGAAATCTCCACTTAAAAGTGACTGTGAAACAGGCTAATATAATTTGTTTAAATTTATTTTTCAGAAGACTTTGAAAGGGCTCTAGAAAATGTAGTCCGGTTGGAAAAAAATCGGAAGACTGTAACGAGCAGTGAAAATGAAAGGAGAGGAAGAGGAATGAGAAAAAAAAACTTAAAAAATTTGATTACCTGGCTAGGTCAAGCAGTGATGATAGTGATATTGAAAGTGATCATGGTAAAGAGCAAGAACAGATCCCCATGGCCGTTTTACCCCTTCCACCACCATCATTCAGCACAAGAGTTGAAACTTCACCTCATATTGAATGCCAACAAAATTTAAAAAAAACTGTTGAGAATCAACCAAAAAAGAACCAAAATAGGCCACCAAACAGACTTACTGACGACTCGCCAACACCATGCACAATTTCTAAAAAACATACCTGTATCAGGACGAAAGGTCCGAAAAATGATTTTAACACATTGGCCGCAATGATGTGTTCACTCTCTAGTAAGTATTTTAGCACAATATTATAGAAATTCTACCTTCCAGAATCTTATTAAATAGCTTGCTAAATTGTATGTGCATTTTGTGTTTTTACTTTTTGATCGTTTGAGGTCTCCAATTCAGCAAATCTGTATTCAATTCCATTTTGCCACTATTTTTAAAATTTTAGGCTATAGGCCTACGGTACTCTGAAATTTCTACAGTTTTTATCAAAATTATCTAGAAATCTCTAGTATTTTATATAGGTATTTCTAAGTCTCCTAAAAAGGAGACAGACTATGTTTACATATAAGTTATTTTATTTGCCTCCGAATATACTTTTTTGAAATGTTTCTTAAGGTTGTGTTGTTCTAAAGTGAATTTTGGTATCTCGAGTGATTGTATAGAGTTAAGTTATAGGTATTCTACTGAAAGGGGTCCCCATACTTTTTTAATATTTACATTTGCACTATGAAGATTTTCTAATTTTTAAGTATTTGCCTTTGTTCACTTTGTAGGTGAATTAACATCAATCAAATGTAAAATAATGGAACTGAAAGAAATTATTAAAGAAGAGAAAAGCAGCCAGGAATCTAAAGGAAGCCAGCAGGGCACATATGAAGATTCTGACTTTGATGACGACGAAGTAAAAGAAATATTAAAGCCATTTCCCCTTACGTCGATTGAAAGTTACAACGAATATGAAAAGATGCTAGATTCTCAGCCTCAACTCAGAAAACAGTTAGTAAGTACTGATATGTTTTACTAATAACAAATGAAAATGGAAATTAAAAAATGAAAAGTACAAACAAATTAATGTTGATTATAAAACATGTTGCCACAAGCCAAAATCAATTCCTTAAAGAATAAAAAAATATTGTATCCGTGTACAGTATGCATTAATAAGATTTCCACTATCAAAAAGTTTGTGCTTAGTAAAACAGTTATGAAACAGTTAACAGTATGTATTCTAGCCATTTAGTAGCCATGCATAGCCTATATCTATTTGTTGGATGGCCATGTAAAGAGCTAGTCCAAGAAATTACACAGCATGTTAATTGAATCATTTGTTTTAGGTGACAGCTTTTGTATCAGTAGCCCGAAAAACAAGCTACTCTAGGACCACCACCAGCCTACTGAAGACGGTACTGCATGAAAATGTAATTTCTCATTTCACATGGAGAGGAATGAACAGGGCGTCACATGACGTCAGTAGAAAATCGTTTTCGAGCAGCACTCTATGCCAATTAATACAACGTTAGTATTCATAATATATATAGACAATTAAAAATCAGTTAATTTTGCTCAAAAAATACACACAACATATAAATATACAGTATAATTATTAAATTGGACTGTTTTTGATGCATTGATTTTTTCAATGCATGAAGCATCAATATACAAAAACAGATAAAACATTAAACATCAAGCACAAAATTAGCATATTTTAACTGTTGGTTAAAATCTTAAAGAAGTTTTGGGACATGTGGCATTTATTTGAAAGCCATTTTTGTTCGTTTTGACGATTATGTGTAGTTTTCATATCTATAGTGTTTGCATCCACATGGAAAAGAATCTTTTTTGTAATTAAACCAAAATACTTCCACATTTAATTAGGGTTTTAATTATTGTTAATACCATTCCTGTCATGAGTACAGACACGTTGCCAGTGCTCCATTTGTTTTGTAACATGCTATAGGTGTTTTTAAGCCCACTGTGGCTAACTTCAACCTGAGCTGTCAGTGACATATTTCTAAATTAAGTTGGTTTATAACAGGTGCTGTCAAGAAGATATGGAGGAGTACGATGTCAGACCTCTCAAAAAAAGTAGATAACTGCATGAACGCGTGGTTTATTCAGAATCAGCACCGGTTGAAAAAGGTATAATTTTCTATTGCCTAAGTTTAAAATTTAACTTTGAAGTGGTAGACTCGTATTGTTGATGTTGATGCCATTTACTTTGTAGAGAGTAAAATATCACCTCTAAGTTTAAACTCATACTTTTATCCTAAAATTCAAGTTTGTTATTTTGATATTTTGTCGTTTTAGCTAATTCCCTACAGGAAAGAAACTGTTACCTCAGGTGACACACTAGGTACGGGACCACTACCACTTTTCATTTTGTATCCCTTGAAGCCAGAAGCACTGTTTGTTTAAATATAGCCTATATGTGTGCGTGCGTGTCCGAGTCCTATTAAATTTGGTATTATTGTGTGCAGGTTTGTTATGACAGTGGTACTGTATTTGTTACTTTTTATTATAATATAATTATAATTTTTTACTTAATTTTCCACTGATTATTTCAATAGAAGTCAATACATGAAACTGCTACAACTTACAGATGAACTTTATTTAAAAATACCATAGAGGTTATAGTTGTATTTTTCTTGATTTCAGGCTCAACTAAATGGACAATAAGAAGAAGCTGTGTGTCGTCACGAGTAAAACGGAGCAAGTTAAACTTGATTCTATAGACTGGAATAAAACAATTTTATTAGTTATTATGATAATTTTAAGTCTTGTCTTTCTAATATGCCAGGGATGTTGGTTATGAGTTATCTTTTTGTTTAAATTTGTTCCTTGTAATTTTTTATTAGAGCCGCTGATGGTATTGTTATAAGTACAAGGGTCATCCACGAAATAACCACCGTCTATGCTAGAGAGAGCAAAGTACGATCGCATGTTCTGGTTTCATAACCTAAAAACACAAATTCTGCCAAGTGTCAATTGTGTGGTGTAATCATATTTCTGTATTTGAAGAATCACTGTGCAGCTAAAATTCGTTGTGAATTGTGTGTGGTGTATGGCCCAAACATTATGAGTAAAAATGTAGTTCGTCAATGGGTTGGTTTAAAAAATGGGAACATCTCTCCCCTCCGGTAATAATCAAGTCTAAGAAAGGTTCTCCATGTGAAATGATTCCGATCCTATTTTCGTTGTCAACATTCAAGCAGTTGGAGAATCTTGTATTCCCAGTTGGTATTTACAATTGTACAAAGAAGCCATATGACTTTTCATCTTTCTTATGTTTTTTTATTGAAGAGATTAATGACATTTTAACAAATGGGGATTCAATGAATGATAGACATATACAAGTTAGTCCAATGTTAAAATACCAAATAAACATAGCGTTTCACAAGGTCCAAATTTCACAAGGTCCAACGGTACAGTCTCGGCGAGAAGTCGCTGCAGAGGTTGCCATGGTTCGGTATGTAGGCACTACACTACCTAGTGTTGTTGCCACACGTCACAAAACAATTGTGAGTCCGTAGATACGTTGTAAAGAGTGTAAAGTAGTGGTGTTTACCCCCTCCGCAGCAAACCTGCAGACTAATCGATTTTCCATTTCCCTTATTTGATTTACACTAGAATATCTCCTTAAAATGATCACATTTATTCCCTATTTAAATAGCATTAGTTTAACAAGTACCGTACTTAGGTTTGCTACAACAGGGAGTAATCAGTAATCAGTAGTTGAGCGCCGGCGGACGGTGCCTGCTATCTGACCGTGGCAACCACTGTAGAGACTTCTGGCCCAGACTGTACCGTTGGACCTTGTGAAACGCTCTGTTTATTTTATATTTTAACGTTAGACTTGTGAAATTTGGACATTGTGAAACTGTGATTATTTGAATGTTATAGTTTTTGACTTAATGAAATTTGGACCTTGTGAAACGCTCTGTTTATTTGATTTTTTAACATTGGACTTTGTGAAATTTGGACATTGTGAAACGGTGATTATTTGAATGTTATAGTTTTGGACTTTGTGAAAATTGGACTTTATGAAACGCTCCCGGTTTGAAAACCAACCTATGCAAAACACAACACCCTTTAACACAAATTCAAAATCTCAATTTTGTCAATGATTTGTTTCGTGACTATATGCATTTGATCTGTCTAGGAGTAATGCCACAGCCACCTCTAATACAAGGCCGCGGCGAGTGAAAGCGGCAACGTCGCATCAGTGTCTTGGTGCGCGGTCGTCTTACCATTACAGTGAATGGAGGAGTCGCGTACCGACGTACATAATCGCATTTCTACTACCTTTAATCATTATTAATGACATTAAACTTCTTACTACAGCATGCCAGATAGATGTGATGTGCCTGGATGCAAGAATAATTACGATAGGTCAATTAAAAATGAATAATACATACAGTGTTCTAAGATTCTACGTGAACCGCCGCGTTAGTAACAAAATTGCTTCCTGCTATGCTTCGATCAAATTAGACATCTTAAAATAATTCTCGTTATTGTGTGAAACATTTTCACGAATATGAACTTAAATTTGTAAAAAAAATTAAGAATAAGACTTTGGTTCGTGTAAATATACACGTGAGAAGCGAGTTTTAGGTATGAGAAAGCCGTACTATTTCCTTGTTTATTTGTCTATCTATTGATAAAAGCTGTTGTTAAGTGATTAAATAACTTAAATAACTAGCACTTCGAAGAAATAAACCGGTGTTTCTATTTAGTAGGCCTACTAGTAAAAAATATGTACTACTTTATCTAACAATTAAAGCATTGTATTCTCCGACTCCAGTCTGAATGTTGATGTTATGAAACAATTCTATTAATATTGTGGAAAGCCATATGGAGGCCTAGCTTCTGAAATCGTTTACAAAATGAAAAACGTTTTGCTTAGTAATTATTCAAAGAAAATAAATTATTTATAGTATTAATTATTTATTTATTATTTATAGTAACTGTGTGCCTTCAAAATGAAAACTTAAAATTTTGTTTTCGCTAACTAATGTTTTTCTCAGGTAGACTAAAACGTAATATTCCTATTGAAAATTGAAAATTAATTTGTTTCAAACAGATTGTTATATGTTAGTCTCTACAAATCCCAAAGTCTCTACAAATATTGAAGTGGCAATAAGTTAGTCAGTCCTACTGTATTACCATTACCATTCTTGTTATAGTAGCTTTATTTTGTAAAATTTAAGCACAGTCTGTCTAGTAGTTTTTACTATGTTGAATAACACACATATATACAGACACCATGAGATTTTTATATAATAGTGTAGATTATCAAATTAACAAAGGAAATATGTAAAGTCCATCTATTTCCACATTCATCGTACTTACAATACGATAAATGCAACCAAAAACATTATGTTTGTATATTTTTAGTTTTAGACATATTGGGGTATGTTGCAATTTTTCACTAAATAAACAACCTAGATTCCAATTTTGTCTATTTTACCATACCTTAAAATCTACTAAAATATGTTATTACGAATTTAAATACTTTCATTCATTGATACAGAGCAGCAATACTCTCATTGATGTTCATAGCCTAGCGCGTGTGAAGACGGACGCAGAGGGGGGGTGATTGCGGCGTTGCCAGTTCGAACGTCGCGGCCTTGTATTAGAGGTGGCTGTGGTAATGCCTAAAATACTACTCACTTGGTGATTTGGGCAGCCTATTACAGCAAGAATTTCAATCAGCCAACAAACAATTTTAGTTGTTTAGTTTTGGGTAGAAGAGTTGGTTGTTTTTTCTTTTTTCAAAACAAGTTCCAATATGAAATATTTTAGATGAACCTCAGTTCAAAATGGTAGAATTTTTTATGGCGGCACTTGTGTTTTTAGGTTATAACAGAAAGCACAATTACTATGCTCTCTCTAGCACAGCAAGAAGCGCGCACGTTGATGTGAGAATGGCAGCGCTACCCCCACTACTTATACTTGTCACGCCACCCCCTTACGGCAGTTACATTGTGGATGACCCTAGTATTTACAGAAAGTTGGATTTTTAATCTGTTTTATGGGTTTGTTCTGATATAAATGTCATTTCACTTTAGCTAAAACATAGTTTATTTGCAATATGGGGTTTGTCTTATTGATTATAACTCCTGAATATTTTATTGAATACATAAATTTGAATCCAATAAAATAAACAAATAAAAAATGTATTTAATTTTTTATTAAATTTTAAGCTAAATTATTAGTCTTGCTATTCAAAAGTTTGTAACTGGTGGGACAACCCTCAAGGGTGAGACACGACACAGTATGTACAACTATGACATTTTCACTCATTTTAATGTGTTAATTAAGACTAAAAAAATTATAGAGCTAATAGGAGAGTTCAGCAGGTTAAACAGGGGAGTGTATTTTATTCATCTATGTTAATTTTATTAATTGTGTTTTAAAGTAAATGTTTATTGTTTTTTTTAATGTAACTTTGTGTATTGTGTTAGTAAAATTTGGCTGAATTTAAATTGGAAGTTGCTATTGTTTTATGAATTTACCCAGTAAATTCTGATTGGTTAAGTTTTTAAATTGAAAAATATCAAGAAATGGCTGATATAAAATTGAATTTTCTTTGTCAAAGAATATTTGGATGGTTAGCTAATTAGTTGAACTTGATTTTGGAACTCATTTAGTACCTTTTCTACTGGTTGTAGTTGTTAAGTTTTAATTTGTGTTTGTGTAAATTGATGAAATGTTCCTACTGTAATTTGTTAGTGTAACTTGGCTAAATCATTGGAGGATACACATTGTTTAGTTAATTTAGCTAGAATTTCCAATTCCTTAAGTTTTTAAATTGAAAAATATTAAGAAAAGGCTCATAGGAAAGTAAGTTTTCTCTGTAAAAGAATATTTTTGATGGTTAGCAAATTATTTTAACTTGTTTTTGATATAGAGGAACTAATCTTTTATTTCAACTATGAATTCATTTTATTCATGTACCGGTATGTTGTTTAAAATTTTAGAGCCCAGCTATTAGAGTTGCACATGTTCAATTAGTTTAGTTGTAGTTATAATTTGTTAATACTCAGTTTAAATTATCACATTGGCTAAAATTTATTGCCGTTAAATTTCAATTTGTGGATAACAACACAAGTTTTATTTTTAACTTTGTCAACTTTTCAACTGGAGTGTTGGTTAGTAATGCACTGTTACTGCAATTGCTTTACAAAAATTTAAATCTTTAACCAATCATGTTAATAGTTTAGTTTTTTATGAACCTATATTCAGTGTTTTTCTGCAGTGAAAAGTTGTTGCTTTGAAAGAGTGTTTACCTTAATGTAAAAAAAAAATGTTTTTGAAAAGGTGGCTTGTGTGTACACTATCTTACAATCATAACAATATTCAAAGTGACAAATGAGAAACGTTATAGTAAACATATAGCTTGGATATAGTTTTCCTTGTTTAGTTGTTGAATGTAGACTTAGACTTTTATTTATTAAATTTAAAAAAGTGATTTCTTTATTAACAGTGCATTGCTATTTATTTAACACTCCAGATGACAAGTTGACAAAGCTAAAATCAAAACTGAAGTGTATCCAGAAATTTAAATTAAATGGGAATTAAATTATAAGTTAATGTTTTGATTAGGCCTATATTAATTGTTATTAGCTATGTGAAACATTTTATTTGTTCATGAATGACACTGTTCAATGTACAATAACTGACTTTTAAGTGAATAAAGAATGATTGTCTCTTGACTATTGTCTACACTAGAACCAGATATGCTTCCAAAAATAAGTATTAAAAAACTTGTGTTGACAGTTATAAAATCAATTAAAAAGAGTTGAAAGATTATGGTTTTAAAATAATACATAACAATTTTGTACGTAGGGCTTTGATTATATTCACCATTATTGGGTTTATTTGGGGAAAAAATATAACTGTTAAAAAGCTAGTTATTAAATTCCGTTTTTTTCCTACTTCTGGATGATTATTTTATCATTACAATGCTTATTTATTAACAAGTAATTTAAGAAAAAGGGTCGAAGATACTAATGATTAATATTGGATGTTAAAAAAGATTACTACAAAACTATTATTTAATGCTTTTTTTATGATTAATTTTGGTAGGTCTATTGATGAATTATTGGTTAATAGACAAAAAAATAATAATTAAATAAATGTTATTTAATGCTTATTTTATGCTTAAATTTGGTAGGAATATTGATTAAAATATTAGTTTTTAATTAAAAACTAATTATTATAAAACAATTATTTAATGATTTATTAATAATTAATTTTGAGAAAAAATGTAACTGAAGATAATTATATAATGATTAAATAATAATTATTTACCAATTTTAAATTGAAAAAATAATAATTTTTATTTTACGATTTAATTAAAATTTTGCTACTTGGGTAATGTTTGAGTATCTTTCAGTGCCCTATGCCTATAATATGTTTTATTTAAAATAATGGAATCAAACTATGGATAAACAAGAGACTACTGTGTAAAGATTGTCTTTCTTGGCCTACGCCATAAAGCTATTTGGCTTTTTAGTTTATAAGTAACTTATTCAAGAGACAGTCATCTAAAGGTAGGAGATGGTTAACCTATCTATAGAATGATTAATTAACATTAAATTTATTAATATTATTTTTCCAAAGGCTAAGTAGAAATAAATATCGTTGATTCCTCAGAGTTGTATTGAAATGGAAATGTTATTTTAAAATGGAATTCTTCCTGGATTAATTACATAAATACAACACCATTACATTATTTTATATCTAATTCGTAAAAAATGTATTGCAATTGCAAAGTAGGTAATCTAAGCAATAATAAGCGGGGACGTGACCTAGTTAGTTAAACAAAATTTATTATTTGACAGACGACGGAGACGATGACAACAGAACAGAAACACAGTACTGTATGACTAACAGCGAACAGCGCTACTAGCGGCAGCCGAGATAAGCGGTGGTTTGACTTCGCCTCATTCAAAGGACAAGAGTTTCTTATAGTAGTAGACAGCTCGGTGGGGCACACGGAAGATTTCTCAGGTGCCGTTTGACGTCACTAACTGCTGACGTCACTAACTGCTGCGTCTGAAGAAACAGACAATTTTATAATTTTCTATTATTAAATTAAACTGTCATAACCTAACCAAACTAACCAAACGTGCTGTTAATGGAAAAATCGAATAAAGGTTTACTAATCTAAAAAATAGTTTTGTTTATATAATAAAATTATGATTGTCTAAAATTCAATTTTATAATCTTTTAATTATAAAATTAAACTGTCATAACCTAACCAAACCAACCAAACTTGCTGATATGAAAAAATTGTTGATAAAAAGTAAGTGCCGCCGGCGGAAATTGAACCCGGATCAATCGCATTATCAGCCCGCAACGCTATCCACTGCACCACCGAGGCCGATGGTTGAATTCGTATCGTTGCGGTATTGGTGTTCCCTCAAAGTTACGTCAGCAGTTAGTGACGTCAAACGGCACCTGAGAAATCTTCCGTGTGCCGTTTCGGTAGACGGCTACTCAAAATGAAGTTTTTCATATGCAGACCACGACCTGACGACAACAAATTCAACCCAGCGATCCTTCTGTGTTATGCATATGTTTTTTCAACATAATGATATTCCATTAAATAATATTACCTAACAAATATAGAGATAGAATAAGTTGAGGAAAGCTGAAGCCTCCCAGCTAATACGCCTGTATCGCCCCGAGGTTTAATTTTTCGTTAGTCGACCTTAATCAGAAAATATTAAAATTGAATCAACTATTCTTTAATTACACTCACACAATAATAACTTTTATTTACTTTTTTATCATAACAAAACTAGATATATAACATATGACTTTATAAAACAGGTAATAAGTAAATTGGATGATGTTGTTACTCCAACACACCCTCTCAACATCATGCCTAGTAAAGTCCTAGGTAAAAGAGTGATCTTTTAAACACTTGCCCTAGAAGTGGCTTTGTTAAAAGGTCCGCTTGATTATTTTCACTTGGACAGTATTCCAGAAATACTTCGTTCTTATTTATCATTTCTCGGACGTAATGTTTTCGAATATCTAGATGTTTTATTCTAGCACTCATCTTTTCATTTTCAATAAACTTGATGCAGCTCTGATTGTCTTCAAATATTACTGTAGGATTTTCTTGGGGGAAGCCCATATCTTTCAGTAATAGTCTTAACCATACTACTTCTTGAGTGGCTATGCTTGCGGCCATGAATTCAGCTTCTGTTGAAGAAAGAGTGACATTGGTCTGTTTTTTGCTAATCCAGTTTATAGTGCTGTTTCCTAACTTGTAAATCATTCCGCTGATTGATTTTCTATCTGCTAAATCACCCCCCCAATCAGCATCTACATAGCATGACAATTTCAATTCTTTTTCCATCCCTAATTTTAATTTCTTGTCAATGGTACTTTTCAGATATCTTATTATTCGCTTTACAGCATTCCAATCGCTTTGAGTGGGTTTTTCAACTCTTCTAGCTAGAATTCCAACGGCTGACAAAATATCCGGTCTTGAAGTTACAGCAAGATAAAGAAGTGATCCTATTGCCTTCCTGTAAATTTTGTTATCCGGCAGATCTGGTGACATAGCTGTTGAGTTGATAAATCCAACTTTCATTGGCGTTCTTGCTGGTTTACTGTTTTCCAGCCCATGTTCATTTATGACTTTATTTATTTTTCTTCTTTGGTGAATGTAAAAGTCTCCATCCATCTTATCAATTTCAACTCCTAAGTAGTTGTGAACAACTCCTAAGTTTTTCATTTCAAAGTATTGTGTCAGTTTTTGAAATGTTTTCTTGACATCTTCAACTGATCCAACACACAAAATGTCATCAACATGAACCACTACATATGTATAATTTCCATCAGCACTATTCGTATATAAACAAGGGTCAGCATTGCTTTTTTCAAATCCCATGCTCATCATTGTTGTATTCAGTGTTTCATTCCAGACCCGAGCTGCTTGTTTTAGCCCATAAATTGATTTCTTTAATTTATAAACTTTATCTTCATTATCAGATTTCACAAAACCTTCGGCCTGCTGCATATATATTTCTTCTTCTAACTTTCCATTTAAAAAGGCTGTTTTTACATCAAAATGATGCACAGTCAGATCTTTTGTCGCTGCTATGGTTAGTAAAATTCTTACTGTTGTTGAATTAACAACAGGAGCAAATATTTCATCATAATCTTCTCCATATTTCTGTGAGTAACCTTTGGCTACTAAACGTGCCTTATAGCGCTCAACCATACCATCATCTCCATACTTTGCTTTAAATATCCATTTACATCCAACTGCGGTTTTCTGTGGAGGTAAATCTACAAGTTCCCATGTATCATTTTTTAATAAGGCTTCCATTTCTTCTTGAGCTGCTATAACCCATTGATTCTTCTCAGGTTCAGGCAATTTCTCCAATTGTTTCCAAGATTTTGGTTCAATCACATTTCCTTGAGCTATTAATGATAGTCTGTTAGGAGGAACACCTTTTGTTTTTCTTTCAGATTTTCTCACTTTCAAGTTAATATCATTATTCTGATGATCATCTCCATTATTATTCCCATCAATCATACATGGCTCGTCGTGTTCATTCTCTTCCATTTCATTTGACATTTGTTCTTTAGTTTCATTTGTTGATGTTTGCCTATCTTCAAGTACAAGTACATTTTTCTCATCAGTACCTTTTGGTTGATCAACTTGAACACTTCTTTGATTTTCCTCGACCTTTTCATGTCTTTGGAGTAAACTGTCTACAGGCAATACCCTAATGCTTGAATTAGTATGATTTACATCAACATGTGAAAAAGAAGATGTGTCAAAAACTACATCTCGAGTTGTAATGATTTTTCTATCTTCAGGTAACCACATCCTCCAGCCCTTTGATACATCTGAGTAACCAACAAATATCCCTTCTTTTGCTCTTGGTTGAAACTTGTCATTTGTCTTGTCTAAGATAAAACCTTTACAACCAAACTTTTTTTAGATACGAAACATTAGGAATTTTCTTGTACCATCTATGATATGGCAATACACCATCAATTGCATCTGATGGGCATCTATTCCTAACATGAGCTGCTGTTGCAACTGCTTCTGCCCAAAACGTTTGAGGAAGATTTGCTTCAATGAGCAAACATCTTGCCATGTCATTTAATGTACGATTCATCCGTTCAGCCACTCCGTTTTGTTGAGGCGTTCCGCTACATGTTAATCTTCTCTGAATACCATTACAATACAAAAATTCATCGAACTCTCTGTTAACATACTCTCCTCCATTGTCTGTTTGAAGATATTTAATTTTTCTTCCTGTAAAATTTTCTACTTTGTTCTTGTACTTTTTGAAAGAATCTAATGCATCACTTTTCTTCTTCAAAAAGTAAACTTCAACCCATCTTGAGCTATCATCAATAAAAGTAATGAAATATTGAGATTTTCCATGTGACTCTGTTTTCATTGGTCCACAGATGTCAGAGTGAATAATGTCCAGCACTTCAGATGTTCTTTCACTTTTAGGAAAGGGTCTTTTTGTAAATTTTCCTTGAATACACACCTCGCATTGTGGAATAAGCTCTTTTGTGTTCACTTTAATACCTTTAACCATATTTAAATTGATTAATCTTTTCAAGTCTCCAAAGTTCAAGTGTCCAAAATGTTGGTGCCAAGACAATAGACTTGATTTTTCACAGCTTATATTCATTTCTTCACTACTCTCTTGCACGTAATAAAGTCCATTTAACCTATTCGCACGGATCTTAGTCTCTCCATTCTGATCTATTATCAAAGCAGCATCTTTTTTAAACAAAACTTGATACCCATGGTCAGTAATTTTAGCTACAGACATCAGGTTTGTTCGAAGTTCTGGTACATACAAAGTGTCATACAAATTAACGCTTAGATTTGTACTCCCATTTAAAATGTTCATATTAACTGTTCCAACTCCTCTTGCATCAGTTGATGAATTGTTGGCAAGAGAGATACTTCTTCCATTTGCAGGCTTATACTTGGTAAATTTACTGTTCACATGAGTCATATGTGAAGTGCATCCACTGTCCAAACACCACTGTATATCTTTCATTGATAAGTTTCCAAAATAACAGTCATCTTCTACAGAAGAATTAAGTCCTACTTCTTCTAGTTTAGCAATCGCTACATTTTGTTGATCTTTATTTGCTTTGGGACAAAATTTTGCTTTGTGCCCGATCGCTTTACATATAAAGCATCGAAACGGAAAATCAACTGATTCCGTTCTATAAGAGTCTTTTGAAAATCTTCCTGGTTGAAATCTAACTTTTTTCTGAAATTTTCCTAGCAGAGCTTCACTCTCTTTCTTACCATGTTCTTTTCTCGCTTCCCACTCTTCTACAATTTTTATTTTTAAAGTTTCAGGAGAAGGCAGTGCATCTCTAGTTTCAATAGCAATTCTAAAGTTTTCAAATTCATCTGACAGGGAATACAAAAGAATAATTGTCAAAAGATCCTCATTAATATCGATTTCCATTCCTTTTAATTTGTCCACCACATCAAAAAACATATTCATGTAATCTCTGACATCATAATCAGGTGTCAGTTTTGCCAAAATCAGCTTCTTTAACAAGAAGGCTTTCCTTGCTGGTCCACTGGAATCATAAATGCTTTTTAATTTTTCCCACATCTCTGCTGAAGTGTTACATCCATTCACTTGCTTTAATTCACTTGGGCTGATAGAGAGAATTATATCTGCCTTTGCCTTTGCATCAGTGATTAGCCAAGCAGTCATTCTTTCACCTTCTTCTAGAGGCTTTTTAATGGTTCCTAACACATACCCAAGTAAATCATTTTTAACTAAAACTGCTTCCATCTGCATTTTCCATTTGTCATAATTATTTCTACCCAAAAGTTCAATGTGATTACTCATATTTCTTTCCATATTCCTCACTTAATTAAGTCTCATAATCTATTAAAATTGAATCAACTATTCTTTAATTACACTCACACAATAATAACTTTTATTTACTTTTTTATCATAACAAAACTAGATATATAACATATGACTTTATAAAACAGGTAATAAGTAAATTGGATGATGTTGTTACTCCAACAGAAAATATATGACTTTCAGTGAATTCTGTGAATCTCTACTAAAATTTGGGACTTTTAGGGGACTTCCATGACCGGTAGACACCCTGTTGTTGAGAACATCACAAATTCAGACTATAAAATTACAGCTTATAAATATTTCATGAGTGCCTAAAGCTAAACGTCATCAGATCTATTGAGAAAACTTACCAACTGCATTTCTTTTCGCTTGTCCAGTGAGTCTTCAAATTTTTTTAATTCGTTAAGATCTTAAGAACAAATACAATTTTGCTGGGAGACGTTAATATCGACCTGTTAGATGGAAAAATAAATTCTAAAAACTATCAGTACCTTTTAGAGAACAATGGGTTTTTATCAATAGTTAAGAATGCTACTAGAATCACAACAAATTCTAAAACACTAATCGACCATATTTTTATTAAACATAGGCAAGTAAATAGCTTTAAGCAAGCAATATTTGATTTGAATATAACAGATCATTGTTTATTGGGTCTTAAATTTAATGACATTTCTTTAGACCAAGACAAAAAAAAAGTATTTTGCGAGAAGCAGACTATAGATTTTGATAAGGTTATTGGTTGTTTAAAGTCTATTAGTTGGGACGAAGTTTTTAATGAAAAAAATATTGATTTATGTTATGAGAAGTTTAATTTAATTTTAACTGACGTTGTAAATAAGTGTTCTAAAACCATTTCAATAGATAAGAGTCTTGCTAAGGCCAAACTACTAAGTCCTTGGATGACGACAAGTCTCTTAAAAAAAATACGTAGAAGAAAAAAACTGTACGTGTTAACCAAAAAAAGGCCATATGATTTAGTTTTAAGGAATCACTATAAAATGTTCTACAATAATTTAAAACTCGAAATGGATAATGTCAAAAAATTGTATTATTCAAATCATATTCGAAATGCTGATGGTGACCCCGCTAGACAGTGGAGGGTCATAAATAGCCTAACTGGTGAAACCCGTAATCAGTGTTTTGATAAGGTTGAGCTTGAGGATGGAACTATTGACAGTGACTCACAAAGTGTAGCAGATAGAGTTAATCATTATCTGATGAACATTGTGCAACCTGATAACGATACACCTTCACTGGCCGACCTGGGTCTACATCAGCGTTGCCAATCTTTTTTCATTGTGCCAACCACTGAAAACGAAATTATAGGTGTCATTAATGGTTTTAAAAATAAAAAATCTTCGGGTTTCGATAATTTTAATGCATTATTAGTAAAAAAAATAGCTCAATACATTGCACCTGTTTTAACCTATATTTTTAATAAAAGTTTTAGTGAAGGTATTTTTCCTACTAAGTTAAAGTTAAGTGTCGTAATACCAATTTTCAAGAAGCCAAACTTAATAAAATTGAACAACATAAGACCAATCAGTCTACTTTCATCTTTTTCTAAGATATTGGAGAAGCTAATGGTTAACAGACTAGTAAAGTATTTCAATCAAATAATTTTTTTTTCTCAATGGCAGTTTGGGTTTCAGCGAGGAAAATCTACAGAAGATGCTCTGTTGAATTTTACAAATTTAATATATTCAAGTTTTAACAATGGCAACAAAACGACAGGTCTCTTTGTTGACTTTATGAAGGCCTTTGACCTGGTTAACCATAATATCTTACTATTTAAGCTTGAGGCAGCTGGTATCAGAGGTGTGGCGCTCAATTGGTTCCGCAGCTTCCTGACTGGCAGAGAACAGCAGGTACGGGTAGGTGACTGCCTCAGCAGACCACTGCCCGTAACTGTAGGTGTGCCGCAGGGCTCGGTTACCTCAGCAATTTTATTCCTTGTTTTTATTAACGATTTGCTTGACAAGAATTTTAAAGGTCAAATCCAAGCTTTTGCCGATGATATTGGTTTTCTTTATTCTAATAAGGATAAGGAAGTTTTAAAAATGAATTTAATGTTTGATTTAGACATACTCCAAGATTGGTGCTTAAAAAACAAAATGAAAGTTAATGTTAGTAAAACAAAGTTTATAAATTTTGGCTACAGAGAATTTTCTTTTTCATCTCCTATTTTGTATCACATACAAGGCTGCCAACGTGTAGATTGCCAATGTGAGGAAATTGAGAAAGTTAAATCATTTAAATACCTTGGGATACACTTTGATGAAAAATTTACGTGGGAAAAACACATTCAAATTCTGCATGCAAATGTCAAAAGATCAATTAGAAAATTTTATTTCTTAAAACATTTTTGTGAAGAACATTTATTGAAAACACTTTATTACGCACTAATACATTCACGTTTGCAATATGGATTAATATGCTGGGGAGGTACTTTCAAAAGTTTCATCAATCGTTTAAGAACAACTCAAAATCATTTTTTAAGAATCATTTTTAATAAACAGTTGAGAGAAAGCTCATTTCCGTTATACTTTCAATCAAAAATAATGCCGATTCAGAATCTTTTTATATTTAAAGTATTAAAATTGTTTTATCTTAAAAGTGGGAACAATGGAACTGATAACCTATATTACAATACCAGAAGTGTAGATAATTTGTTTTACAGGACCCCTAAAGTCAACAAAGAACTGTTCAAGCATTCGTATCTATTTTTGGGGCCTTTTGTTTTTAATATGTTGCCAATTGATATAAAAAGAAGTAACAATGTTAATAGTTTTTGTAAAAGGTTGAAAGAATGGTTATGTAATATAAATGATACTTCGTTGCTTCGTAATGTTTTAGAATAAAATCTATGTTTTTCACATCGTTAAATTGTAGTACGTTTTTTATATATTTTGTGTTCATTATTTACATTTCAGGCAGTCAGATATGTATATTTTAATTTTTAGAAGTAGACTTAATTTCAATATGTAACGCTACAGGTAGCAGCAGGAGTGATAATTTTAGTAATGGATTGATAAGACTGAACTCTTCATTTCATGTATAGATTAGATAAGTTTTGTGTACACTGGCCACAATTACTGGACAAAGTGGCCAGTTAATTTCCGAATTGTTTTATGATTTGATGATTGTTTGTTTTTGAGGAAATAAAATTCATTATTCATTATTCATTATTCTTTTAATTGGTTAAGATCTTTAAGAGGGATTAAATGATGTTCATCATCTTGTAAGGAAACAGACATATTTATCTGGTCTAGCTTCTCCTGTATGGTCTTCACCTCGGTCACTATGTGATTTATGTTTGTCCCAAGTGACACCAGGCCACTATTTATATTCTCATCTGAAAAAAAACAATTGAATTTTTATTTGTTACATAATAAAGTGTATTTGATTAGATACACTATTGAGCAGCCTCATAGGTAAAACAGTGTTGAACGCATCTAAAACAGTGAAAAGAGCAGTCCTAAAACATAGAGGTGAACTTGAATGGGTGTACGACACGCTTCCTTTGGTGCTAACGTGCTTGATCTCAGGAAGCGAGCTGGTCTAGTGGTTAGAGTGCAGGACTTCGGTCCCTGAGGTGCCGGGTACAAAAAACCCACGAAATCACCAATGGATTATAACTGATATTTTAAGTGATATTGCTACAACCCCTAGGTCTAGCCTCAAATAATGTTGAAAACAATCACAAGTTCTGCTTAACATCCTAGGCCAAAAAAATTTGCTTGATCGGACGCATGACATTTGAAACAAACATATTTTAAATGACAAAATCAATAGTCAGGCGAACGAGTTGTTTATCAAATTAGACAGAGAAAGGAAACCAGAAACCACCGATCAGCTGATTTCAGATGACGTCACCTTGACCTTCGACGGAACTCCAGTCGCGGCCGGCTTGACGTAAGCGTGCACGCATCGCGATGGTTTCTGTCTGTAAATATTTTGTAAATATAATGTGTTTTCGTTTTGTGTTCGGTAAAAACTTTATAACAAATCGTTCTACGAGGACTGACCCGATGATGTGACTGTCGTCACGAAACCGGTCGTCATCTAACAAGACCAAAGGATATCCCATGTAGCACAGATGGTTGGGCCAACGTTGGTAAATTGTGGAGCCACACAGTTGGCCAACGGTAGAAATGTCACCTCTTTAAACTGTTTTCCAACCAACCATTGTCCAACAATGGCCCAACCATCCAAAAATACTGATGGCCAACTAACCAAAACACAACTGATATCCAACCAACCGTTTTATTTCACACAAAAAAATAAAGATTTAGTATGAAAAGCATAATTATTAGTTGAGAAAATTGATTAAATAGTTCATAAAAACAAATTTTGAAAAAAAGCTAGAACAAAATTTTTTTGCCCAGACGGGGTCTCGAACCCGGGTCCTTCGACTTATGAGCCTCTTACTTTTACCACTGAGCTATTTGTGATTGTTGATATAGAGAGTTTTCAAGTGCTCAAAGAGTAGCCGACAGTTGCAATGGTCGCAATACTTCAAACATTTTTGATACTACAGTATAATATGATTCTGTTAATCTGTTTAGGCATCAAGTGTAGTTGATATTTTTTTTTTGGAGTTAGAGAGGATACTGGTATTTGAATATAGGCTAGATTATTTAATTACCGTTAGATTATTAATGTTATTATAATTGACTGTTATATGATTAATTAATCTTTCCCCTTAAATTGTTGCAAATAAGTTAAAGAATATTAATAAAAAAAAATATTTGCATTATTATAATTATGTTGTCAAAGCTAGATCCAGAGAATGAAAGTCGTGTAAACTCAACTATGGACCATCGTTGGTCCAACACTAGTATCTTTTGTTGGTCCAACGGAGTGAAAAACGGTTGGACAACGGTTGGCTTGATGTATGATACCCAGCAATGCATATTAATGTATTTCATTAACAATGAACCAATGTTGGTCCACAGTTGTAAATATTGGTTGGCCCAACTACGAGATATACAGTTGGACAACGGTTGGTTGGTTGTGGAAGCTCCAACCAACCATCGACCAACTGTCCCACAATTGGCCAACGTTGGCCCAACCATCTGTGCTACATGGGATTGAACAAGGTAACTGTTATTTTATTATTATAGTTAAACTTATGTAACGAGTTATTTTTCCTAGGGGGGTAAATATTTGCTATTTGGCCGCGCACCTGTTTTGGCCAACTGTATTTGGCCAACGGTATGTTTTGGCACGCAGTCTTACGGTTGGCCAACCAACTAATTTTTGCGGAAGGGCCAACCATCCCATTGGGCCTAAACATAAAAAACACAAAATAATAAAGATTTAGTATGAAAAGCATAATTATCAGTTGAGTAAATTGATTAAATAGTTCATAAAAACTAATTTTGAAAAAAACGAGATAAAATTTTTAGGCCGGAACAGGTCTCGAACCCGGTACCTTCGCCTTGTGAGCCTCACGCCTTACCTCTGAGCTGTGCTTGTTGATTATGGGTGTTTTCAAGTGGTCAAAGAGTAGCCGGCAGGTGCAATGTTCACAATACTTAAAATATTTTTGATGCTACAGTATAATATGATTCTGTTAATCTGTTTAGGCCTCAATTAGTTGAATTGTTTTTCTGGTAGTTGGAGAGGATACTAGTATTTGAATATAGATTATTTAATTACCATTAGATTAGTAGGCAACTGTTATAATTGATTGTTATATAATTAATTAATCTTTCCCCTATAACTATTAAAAATTTGCTCAAATAAGTTAAAGAATATTGTAAAAAAAAATGGAATTATTATAATTATTACATGTTAAGCAGGTGTTCCCCACTGTATGTAGTATCACAACATCATCTGACTACATTTATTATAGATCCAAATGTTTACAATATTTTTCTTATATTCTGCTGCCATAACATTTATGTACTTTTAAATAAATCAATTCGTTAAAATGCGTTTTAGAATGTTTTATACTTAAACCCAACGAAGGCCCAACGATTCTTTCCTTTGTAGGGCCAACGAATACCAGTTTCCGTTGGGCCAACGTTGGCAAATCGTTAAAATTTCTGCCAACCATTTCCCAACCGTGCCGACCATTTCCCAAAGTTGGGCCAACGATGTGTGCTACTTGGGATAAGCCTGGGATATCCTAGATTTTCAGGATAGTCTAGGACAGACATTCGAGTCGTGGATCCCGGACAGTGAAGATAGTGTGGTGTCTTGTGGAGACGACGAGGGTACGAGTGATAGTGGTGTCGGAGTACCTTTGTGGTGTGATCGTGCCGAGTGTTGGTGTTGAGTTGGGTACAGACCCGCTTGTGGTGAGTGACGACGTTCCTTATTTTGGTTTAAGAGTCGATAGTTAATATTAAAAACATTCGTCTCTAATTTTATCGGTTGAGTTGTAACCGTGCTGGTCGAAGCCTGACGGTAGTTAGGATCTATTTATTAGTCAGGAAAAATATTAAAGTATATTTCTGACGGTTCTGGGCAGGTGCTAAATCGCAAATAATATATTTTATTGACTGTAGTAGATATTATTTTGCGTTATACAAGAATTAGTTATTTTACTAATAACTGTGAGGCCCGACAAGGCTGCACGATTTGGTGTGCGTAGTTGGAAGCACGTGGCCAGTAGGGTAGGCTAGTAGCTAATTTTATTAGCCTATTAACAGAAGCCCAGCTAAATAATATAACGTTGATAGAGTAGCAGTAGCAGTAGTGGTAGTAGCAGAAGGGTTGTTATTGATTAATCATTTAATTATTTTAATTCAACCTGAACAGCTTGTTTAATCCAACACGTTATCTCGGTAGCTTGGATAGCGTAGTAACTGCTATCAGATAATATATTTATCTAGTGTTTGGAAAGTATTTAATATTTATTTCACTGCTACTAAGTAGCTCAATAATTTAATAGTAGTGCATTTGACATTTAGTTTTGCTTGTTTGGCTTGGTATTTATTGAGACCAACTACTAGGAGGTTTAGTCACACTGTCTATAGTATACTTGCATTATTATATGGTATTATTATTGAGTGAACTGTTTGATGGTTAGCTTGGGCATTAGAGTTATCGATCTATTGAATTATAGTGGCCGAGTAGACCCCGCCTGGTGATAGCTCGCGTTGTGGTTTTTATTGGCAAGTCGTGTAAATCACTTTGTTTTAGGCACTCTGGGCTTAACTATTGGATAGTTAGGACGAAGCCCGAGTTGCGTAGTCAGCAACGACCCCCTAGGAGAGTGGAGAATACAAGCGTCTACAGCCTGACTGATCACTTATTGCAAACGAAAAAAAACTGGCCAGGAGCCACTGAGCTAAAAATAGCTCAGTGCCAGGAGCCACTGAAGAAGAAGAAACAAATTTTGTCTGCTCGATTTTATGACGTGACGTATCCGTATCGTTCTGGCTGTCGGCTGTGTTGTTTTGGTTTAGCTGTTTGTTTGTTTCCATTACATCAAAAGTTAGTGTAGTATTTTGATTTTGTATATTTCTTTGCAATTATTCATTTTGTTTCCATGTAATGATTAAAAAGAAGTTCTTTTTCTTGTGATATTTATTTATGATCGCTGGACATGTAGATGTTGTGATATTTACGTTTTGTTATCCTATTGTGTAGTCTTTTGTAAAATATTAATCTTGTGGGTAGTGTTATACATTTTTACTGCATAGATTAAAATCCATTTCTGTGAATAAATAGCATGTTTACTAAACTTTATAAAAATGTACTTTTATCCTTTTGTAATTTTGCCCCTTTAATGTTTTTTAGTGTATGCCTATGCCTACTCAATTTTTACATTTTATTCTTAATGATAGCCTAATTAAAAATAAGACATTAGGCCTATGTCTATCATGGTTAAACTCCCGGCCAAGCCTATGAATTCTTGCTGCTTAGCATTCTTTTACACTCCATAGCAAAGATCTAAACAGTTAAAATGGCTGTTGAGTCTTTCACCATAGGCAATGCTATTTAACTTACATGAATGCAGGCTACATAAGTTACAATGAAAGTGCAATGGATGAAACTGTTGAGAGATTGTAATACGATTTTTGGGAAGACTTCCGTATCTGTTGGCACAAACAACCGAATGAGTAATTTTGATTATTCGATTGTTTAATTCGATATATCGTTTGGTTAGTTAGGTTAGGTTAACCTTACCTACCTAAACAAACGATATATCGAATAATCGATATAGGCTAGCCTATCAATGGATATTTTCATTCGGTTGTTTGTGCCAACAGATTTGGAAGTGTACCCCGAACGAAAATATTGATTATTCTATTGTTTTATTCGATACGGTATATCGTTTGGTTAGTTAGGTAAGGTTAACCTAACCTAACTAACCAAACGATATATCGAATGAAACAA